CTTTTCGTATCTCTTCGTATCTTTTCGTATCTTTTCGTATCTTTTCGTATCTTTTCGTATCTTTTCGTATATTTTTCTATCTTTTCGTATTTTTTCGTATCTTTTCGTATCTTTTCGTATCTCTTCGTATCTTTTCGTATCTTTTTCTATCTTTTCGTATCTTTTCTTATCTTTTCGTATCTTTTCGTATCTTTTTGTATCTTTTCGTATCTTTTTATATCTTTTCGAATCTTTTCGTATCTTTACATATCTTTTTGTATCTTTTTGTATCTTTTTGTATCTTTTCGTATCTTTTCGTATCTTTTCGTATCTTTTCGTATCTTTTTCTATCTTTTCGTATTTTTTCGTATCTTTTCGTATCTTTTCGTATCTCTTCGTATCTTTTCGTATCTTTTTCTATCTTTTCGTATCTTTTCTTATCTTTTCGTATATTTTCGTATCTCTCGTATCTTTTCGTATCTTTACCTACTATTCTACACTTTAACGAGTGTCCTTGGGTCGCGAGTCAAATATGAGTTCAAAAGAAGACTGGACATTTTCACAAATCAAATTGTCTGTTGGGATTAAAGGTAAGGCAAAGCCTCATAAGACCTCGTGTCCGAATGGCCACATTCCGGACCGCATAGTGAGACACTCGTGGCCGGAGGTCAAGCAAATATCGCGCCATCTGTCCCGAGGCATGTGAAGCAAATGCGTCGGCACAGGCTGGGCGGCTGTGCCCACTTGCTCACATGTACAGGTGGCATGTGAACACGCAGGAGCCCAGCTAAACCAAAGAGTAAGTAAACCAGAAATCTAATCAGAAATCCAATTTAAAGCCAATCAGGAGACCAGCCAAAAATGCAATGAGAAAATGAACAGGAAATTCAACCAAAGACTCAACCAGAAACCTAACCAAACCAAACCAGAGTCCCAAATAGAAACAAATGAGAAGTATAACCCGAAGGCGGGCAAGAAAAGTAACTAAAACAGAAAAACAAAGTCAACCATTGTAGAGACGAAGAGAAACTTGGTCTCGATGATCCTCCTGAGATAACATTGTTAGGGGGACATTCATTTCGTATGAAAGTAGATGAGAAAGAGATCCATTGGTCGTTTAAAAGAAAGATAAGAGAGGCTATTGAAATGAATAGTTTAGGAAATACGTTGAAGTTGAGGAAGAGTGGTAGAAAGTTGAGTAAGAATTACTTATGCTTCATTGATAAAATGAAAGAGAGAAAGGGTGTTGATCCGCTGTCAAAAAGAAAGCGAATCAATTTGTCTGTTTGGTTATGGTTCTAACTTCACTCACATTCGTCCAACATGTTAGAATAAACTCATCAACTAAACAAGACATGTCAGATTACGCAACCCCAGTCTTGCCTTTCCTTAAAGGGTTAAAAGTTAATGACCCTTGACTGAGAGGTTAGGACAAGTGGTTTCGTAACTTGACTTACATGCTTACAAGCTCATATCTCATTGTCTCAATCATACTTGCTTACGAACATACACAGTCTCGGTCAGGGCAAGTATAAAAAATAATTAGCCAAATCATTCTATATCCATTTAGGTCTTTAATTTTTAATTTTTTTTGGCTTAGCTTAGTCTATAGAAAAGGTAAGATAAAGCCGGATAGTCTTCTTGGCCAAGTGGTAACGAAGGCCTGTTACAAGAATGACACCCAGCTCTGATGACGTCAAACAGTTGATGGACGAAAGCTCAGCTCGTTTTCACCCAAAACGAGGGAGGAAGTCATGTGTACTGCGAAATTCATCCGTCCTCATCTGGTCAGATCGACCAACGAATCTCTTCTTCATGCACTTTCATACGAAATGAAGGTCCCCATAACAAAGTCAAACAGTCAGCAAGTCAATATAGACCCTCAACTAGAAACGCAACCAGAAGCCCAAATATGAGCATACTCAAAAATCAAACAAGCGATACATACAGAAATATAACCAAAGACCCAACTAGAAATCCAACCAAAGGCCAAAACAGAAAAGCAAATAGAAAGCAAATTATAAAGCCAACCCAAAGGTCAGTTATAAAGTTAACTCAAATCCAACAACAAAGGCAACCAGATGGTGGTCCGAGGGTCAACCAGAAATCTTGACAGTATCTAAAACACAAACCTAAACATAAGCCCAACCAGAAGTCCATCTAGAACCTCAACCAGGAAACCAGCCATAAACCAATATCATAAATCCAATCAAGAACCAAACCAGCGATCCAACCAGGAATCTAACCCAAAACCCAACCAGAAGTCCAACCAAAAGACCGGCCAGTAATTGAAATATAAAGCAAATTAGAAGACCAGCCCAAAGGCCGGCAATAAAACTAGCCAAAAGCCAACAACAAAGACAACCACAAAGCCGGGCAGAAAGTCAAACAGAAACTCAACTAGACACCCAACCAATTACTCAATCAGGAGCTTGATGAGAAATCTATTAAGAAACTCAACCAGCAACCCAACCCGAAAGCCAATTGTGAATCGACTTGGAAGAGCAACCAGAAATTCAAGCGTAACCGTCTCTGCAAGCGAGTGAGTGGAGCTCGAAGGCGGCAGTTTCGACGAGCATCGGCACTGCCCAGTTTGGTGGGACTCGACGCAGCTGCCTGTCACCTCAAGCTGGCCATTTGTTGCTGTGGCCTTGCGCTACCGCTTAAGCCGAGTCCTGGTCTGGCGAGTGAGACTGTGTCCGCAGTTCATGGGTTTGGCAGCAGATGAGCTGAAGACCTGCACGAGCGGACAAGTGGCCCGTCAAGGCAGCACGGCGAAACGGAGAAAGACACTTCTTTGATGAGAGATGCCTTCCGAGACGGAGACCACTTTGTCCGCAGCAGAAAGATGCCTCTAAAGACAGCCGATCCGACCGGCCAGAAGTGGCTGAGCACAGGCCGGATACACGACATGAGATGCAATGGTCGCTAGGAGCAGAATGAGAAATTGACAAATTGGCAAATTGGTTGGAAGTGAACAAGGTCGGCACGAAGTTGAGTCCAACTGAGTCCAGCTTGAGTGGAAGGTGGAAGGTGGAAGGTGGAAGGTGGCAGGAGAGAGTGAAAGGGAGAGTGTGTGTTGAGCTGCCGTCAAAATGGAGGAGATTTGATTTGTCGGCCGAGTGCTGCTTCCCACCATTTCCCCACTCGTTCCTCAGGCCTCTTCAGCTCAACAACAGAACAACGGAGCCACAAGATTGCCCAATCCCAGTCGTGCTTTGCTGTGGACCCTTCAATCGTAATGACTCCACATTAATGCATTATGACTTGTGCTTTCATGCTCTTACTTTTACACGCACATGCTTACATTTCATCAATTCAACCAGAGTTATTTATTGACTAACGCAATTTCGCTCATGCTTCTTCTTCCGTAATCAAGCCTTGATGATCTGGGCCTGAGAATAGACTCTT